GGCTCTCGAGTAGGCTTCTGCACAGGCACACTGGGTCTTAGCAAAGCTAGAGTGGGAAGGAAAAAGTAAACAGGAAGAGGGTGGGGGTACTATTTGCCTAGAGACCCAATGCAGTGCGAATTCTAGTGAGCACAGGCAGCAGCTGGTGTGCCATGGGTCCAATCCAGTGTGCTGTGTGGATACTGAGTCAGGCAGTCAACTCTCCCAATTACCACCCATTCCCAGCAAGACCCCAACCAATGAGCAAGGCATAGGTGGAACCCCAGGGGTTCCTGGCAGGGACCAGCCAAATGGGTGAAAGACAGGGTTCCAGTTCCAGGGTTCCAGGGATAGGGGTGGGTGGAAGGAGAGGAGGGATGAAGCTCTGGATGGCCAAGAAAACTAGCTGTGGAAATTGACCAGTACAGTGTGGAGTATGTGATGTATTTGGGGGTAGGGTAGAAGATGACAGGAGACACGGTTTACATATTTGGCACTTGTTTTTTAATGCCTTGTTTTTTTCAAGGGGGAGATATCTACCTATTCCCTGTAGGGCCTTTCCAGCCCCCACCTAAAAGTTACATTCCTTACTCCACCCTAACGGGGCCCCTAGCAGGCCAAGCAGAGCACCCAGTAAGCTTCTGAAATATATCAATCGCCTCCGACCCCTAAATAAAGAGACTTTCCACAGTAAAGAACCTGCACCCACACAGTCTGCCCAACATTTGCTTTCTTTCTTTGGGCGGCCTCAAATCGCCCCCCAGGGCGGGACCGTGAGATTCACGGAACATCTGAACTCTGCCCACAACACTGTTTAACCCTACAGCTATCCCTCTGGCTGCGCTGACCTTTGATGGGGGTGGGGAAGGAGGCAAGAAAACCACCCTTCTTTGACTCCTCGTTATCCCATCCCACCCTGTCACCTCCGTTTTCTACAAAACACATGTACGTTTGGGATAAAAAAACAAAACAAAACCTTGTCTTTCATCTGGGCTGTGTTTTCTTTACCAGAGCAAGTGGGAGGGGCGGCGGAGGGAGAGAGGACGGGGAAGGGGGTACCAAAGTGCCCAGCAGCCCGAGCACCTACAAAAACAGTCCTCTCTTGGTGAGGCGCGGAGGGAAAATCTTACTAAGCAAAGTGAGTTTGCAACTCCGGGAAGGTTGGGCGGCTCACGGTGGACAGTCCTGGGCGACGATGGGGGAGGGGGGTAGAGATGAAGGGAAAAGAGATGGAGAGGGGGAAGGGCAGGAGGATGGGGAGGGGGCGGTCCCGAGCAATTCAATGGCGCTTTGATTTAACAACTCCAAGCCCTTTGAAAACATTTTGCCAAGAAAAGCTTGCCATCAACACGTATAATCTCTTATCAGAGGCCCCTGAAAGCCCGGGCCCCGGGGTTAATTCCCCCATCGCAATGAGTTTGAATCAGCTCTAAACCCGCAGTGACATGAAAGCGCCCGAGCCTCGGGCCGCACAGAACCCACTGCGATCCGCCGACCGGGGAGGATTACGGGGCCTGTTGCGCGGCGAGCTCGCCGGCGGGACGGGCAGGCTCAAAAGAAAAAGAATAATTAGGGATAATTGCTTGTGTCCAAACACAAGCATTAAGGCCCCCTGTTCCCCTTTGGGACTTTGTGAGCCAGAATGAAAGAGACACCCCCTGTTTTGACAGCTGGGCCAGCGGCCTGGATCCGTGACCGAGGGAGGAAGCGCTCCCGGCTGCTGGGAACGCGGCCGAGCCGGGCCACGGGTGGGCGGGGGGCCCGCCTCCCCGGGAAACGGCCGGGTCCACGCGTGGGGCCCGCGTTCGCGCTCATCCTTCCGGGAGCTCGGGGGGAAAAGCGGGTTGTCTCCCCGCCTGGCGCCTGCGACCTCGGAAGCCCGCCGCAGCCCAGGGGCCTGCCGCGGGGCTGGGCAGCCGAGGCCCGCGCACGGCGGCGGCTTGGCGGAAGGTGGCCAGGGACCCAGGGACGTGCCGCCCGAGCCGCCCGGGGCGTTGGATGCGGCAGGGCTCCCGGGGTTCCGCTACGCAGCTTTGCACCCTGAGCTCGAAGTCGGTTCAGACCCACTAACGCTCGTAAAATGGGAACGAACATCCGACCCCACCTCCCCGGGCGTGGGGCGGCCTGCGCCACAGCTAGAAACACCCAGATCCCAGGGTGGTCCCAGCCACATCCGGCTGCGCCCTTGAAGCCGAGACGCGCGTAGGAGGCCTCCCTTCGTGGCTGGGAAGTGACAAGAGAATTAAACGCAACTGGGGAAACGAGCTTAACGTGCACCGCTGCATCAGGGCTGGGCAGCAGGGCCCATAGTCCCGAGGAGACTAGCCTGATGTTGGGGTTTGGGACCAGGGCTTTCCGGAGACTGAGCAGACCTCGGCCAACGGTCTGTGGGGGCCGAGCTTTCTGGGAGCGTGGCTGGTTTGCCCTTCGTAGGCCCGGAAACCACGGTGCCTGGAAAGGCCAAGCCAGGCCCGGAAGGATCCTTGAAGGAGTAGGGTGGGCATAAAGTGGCTCCTGCCAGCTGGATGCCAGCTCCCGAGGCTAGGCGAGGGGAGGGAGGAAGGTGGAGAATGGAGAGAACCTGACAGAAACACGCTCTTCGAGACCACCCGCAACACCTGGACCACCCAGGGCGAGGCCTGGAACTGCGAAGCCTTGAGGCCTGCTTGGCCAACCGGCTTGAAAGGCCACAGAGGCGACTGCCTTCTCCCAGAAGGCCGACCTTCCAGAGGGGTATCACCAACTGGGGACTCCCCGTAGCGGCTGGCAGCCCCGCAGTCGGAGGAGTCCACACCCGCGCCACCCCCTTAGATGGCTCCACTTCCAAATACGGATCATATGCTCATATGCGGCCGAAGGAAGGGTAGGGAAGCGGCGCGGCCAACACGCGGGCATGAGCGATTAATTAAAGGGAAACCACATCCGACAAAAAAGAGTTTTGTGAAAGGAGCCGAGTCGGAGAGGAGCTTCTGACCCTGCAGCTGTGGCGCAGACGGATCCGCCTGTGACTGGGCCCTCCAGCAGAAGACACGGCGCAGGGGCCTGCTGGCCCAGCAGAAGGGACCCACCTGGCTTGCAAAAACCATGTGCTTTAAATAAAGCGCAAGGTTAAAAGTTTCTGGGTTGGCCTGTATCCTGGAGAGGTGGCTCGGTTGATCTCTGAGACTCCCCTGGCTGGCTGCGGCCCCCTGGGTCCCCCGCTACAGCCTTTGGGAGAGCTCTGCGGTAGTATACAGGCCCTGCAGGCTTCTACAGTCATTCACCAGGCCAAGCAAAGTCAGTCGGCCTTCACCAGACAGGACAATGCTGGAGACAGAGCCTTAAGATGGAAATGTTCATATCCAGACAAAAACACACACTTGCTGACAGTTTTCTGCCTTTCCTCTCACCCCTTTCGTTTCGGGGAAAACCGGATGACAGCAAGATTGCCAGGAAACAAAATGCTACTTGCTGAATATCTATTCTCATTTTACGTCTAATTGCCAGTGTTTATTAAAATAATCTCAGCTTGTTGGGGATTAAATACAAAATAAAGTTCATAACTGTAGGCAGATTTAAAAACTTTTTGTAATTGTAGACTTTGTATAATTCTCTTGGCCAAAGAATACTTGGGAAGATTCTAAATGAGGGAAGGTGGTGTGTTTCTCTGACATGAAAGAATGAGCTATCTCATCTCCCTCCTGATTATAAAAGTCAGGAAATATTTTTTTAAAAGTCTTGATTTGCGAAGCTTCCTTCTGTAGAAATAGGTGATGCTATCTGAATTTTCCAACAAGGGCACACTTTTCAGGTTAGTCTTTAGGTTTAGAGGCAATCAACGCTTTATTTATTTGTTCTGGGGGAAGGGGAGAATACTCTGATGACAGCCGGGGAGACCTTTCTGCTCCTTTCTAGTGATTCCCAAATCCTTCCTCTTCTCTCTCTAGCTGCTTCATCAGGCTGCCCTAAAGAGAAGGCTTTGGTTTGAGGTTTTGTTTTGCTTTGTTTTTGAGATTTAATACTGCATATATTTCATCATGCCATACTGGTTTCAACAACGTATAAAACCCATGAAATTTAATATTCAATTTCAGAACTTTGGCCAAGAGATGAAATTATGATACCAAGAAGAATAAAAAGAAAAAAAAACCACACAAACAAAAGAGAGATTCTGAGGAAAATGAGAACTTCCATCGAATCTATACTTTCCCGAAATTACACTTCTGCTAAAGCTGCCTTGTGGGCCTGTTCCCTTGGTGGGCTCAAAACAGGCGAGACAGACCAAAAAAAAAAAAAAAAAAAAAGGTGTGAAAATGACGTCAGAATCTGAAGCGGTGCCCCGCAAATGTCAGTTTGGTGAGGTTGGCGTTGGTGAGTTCCTCCACACTTAACGCCTGCGGGGCCGCACCGCAAACAGCCTGGAAACCAAAGGGCGAGAAGCAGGAGGCTGGCCGGTTTTCGCCCGCGGCGGCAGCCGCCGCAGGGGCCAGGCAGGCGGGCCGCCCGGGGGAGGTGCGGGTCTGAGCCTGGACGGGGCGGGGGTTGGGAGGGTGAGTTAAATACAGATCACAATTCGAATCCAGAGTTGCTAGCGGCCTTCTCAGGGATTTGGAAGGGATCTGCAAGTGAAGTTTAAGCCTCCTAAGTTTGATGATCAATTCGCTTTGGAGTTTACAAAATATATTTACCCCACAAGTCAGTCCCCGGGGAGGCCACCAGACCGCTCCGACCAGCGTGGACCCGGCAGGTTCTACGAGGCGCGTGGACGCGGCTTGGGCGGTGAGGGCTTCGGCGTAATTTACGAATATCCCTAGGAGTTTGGGAGACTTTAAGGAGCTCCCCTTGGAAGGTCTGAGCGGGGAGACCCGTGGAGCGCCTCTCCTGTGGAGAGCCCCCGGGGCTTCGACGAGCACCCCATCCCCACCCTACCCCACCCACCCTGTTCTGACCCCGCGACCCGGGAGCGCAGGGCGACCAGGGCCTGGCGGATCGCCCCGGAGGCCGCCGCGCACCCCGGGTCTCCCAGCGTGGCTCGCGGCCCGATGCGGCTGCCGCATCCCCAGGAGAGGGGCGCCACGCAGGTCCAGGGAGCCCGCGAGTCCGGTCAGCTCCCGCCGGGAAGGCACCGGAAGTCACGGGCTCACGACCCAGGGGAGGGCCCGCGCGTCTCCGCATTCGTGCGGCAAGGCGGGCCGGCTGGTGAGGGTAGAGGGCAGGTCTGGGAAGACCCCTTTCCCGCCAAACTAGGCCAGGGAAACCCTCCAGGGAACCGAGACCTGGGCGATGGCTGGCACTCACCCACCCCGCTTCTCCCGTTAAGCAAACCCAAGTTCAAATGGAAAGGCTAAAAGATGTTACCCAGTTCCCAGTCTTCCTCTTTCTCCAAAAAACTGCATATTGCCTTCACATTGCCTGCGCTAGTACAGCAATGAAACGTGTTTTGTGGGATACGTTAGAATTAATGATAAGAAAATCTGTAATTTTTAAATACAAAATACAGATTTTTTAAAAATCAGTGTCCCTATACACATTACATACATGCAGCATGTGCATCCACTCATATATAGATACGTTTATATTTGAGTATATACTGTGGACTCAGATTTGCATTCTAAGACTGCAAAAATACAGTCACATATCCCATCACATATGCCATGCCTGAGAATGCTGGTCTTCTCAAAGGCCAATTAAAATGCTATTTTCTTTTACTTTTTATTTAGAACCTCCAAAACAGGAACAAACTGTACTTTTAGAATGTAGTCATTCTACACATGAAAAGATATCATTTATTAATACAAATCGTATTTACAATGGAATGCTTACAATTCTTTTTTTCTCTAATATAACCTGACTTCAGGGCATAAGGGCTCCTTTTCTTGGAGGGAGCCTTAGACACAGTCAGTTCTTGGCTCCCAGAGCAGTATCTGATGCTGTAAAACACTAAATCTGGACAGATTTACACAGAACAGAAGCTTTAATTTCACCATTCAAATTCCAGCCAAACAGCTTTGGGGATTTTTCTATGTTCCAGACGCCCTGAATGTTTTTCCAGGTTGTATGGTTGAGCCCTAGCCTATGGCAGCTCAACCAAAATCTTGACATTATTAAACACAGAAAGGAGATGTATCATCATGTTTTTTTTTTTTAATTGTGTCCACATGGAACAAAGACATCTTATTTTAAAGGTGCAACTACTATAACATTGATGAAACAGTTTATGCATATATGATAAAAATTTGAAGAAGGGCTTTATATGTAAGAAGTATAATGTTTTATGTGTGTCCTTTACTTGAAACTGTCTTCAGTTTTATTTTTTCTAAACAATAATTTTATGAAGACAAAAAAATAAGCTGTTCAAGATCATTTTTCCAGACACCAGCTGAATGAAATTGATTTCTTCCCATTGAGACAGGCATGGGTTTTCCTCTAACTTTAAAATAAATGACTACTAACCCTTCATGCACTGTTGGTGGGAATATAAATTGGTGCAGTCAGTATGAAAAACAGTATGGAGATTCCTTAAAAAACTAAAAGTAGCTACCACACAGTCCAGCAATTCCACTCCTGGACATTTATATGAAGAAAATGAAAACACTAATTAGAAGAGATAGTTGTACACCTATTTCATCGCAGCACTGAATACAAAAGCCAAGATATGCAAACAACCTAAATGCACATCAATAGATGAATGGATAAAGAAGATGTGAGATCTATCTATCTCTATATCTATCCCTCCCCATATATAGACACATACACATAATGGAATATTACTCAGCCACAAAAAAGAATGGAATCTTGCGATTTTTAACAATAAGAGTAGATCTAAAGGGTATTATGCTAAGTGAGACCATAGTCCATAGAGTCGCAAAGAGTTAGACACAACTGAAGTGACTTGGCACACACATGTGCTAAGTGAAACAAGTCACAAAGAGAAGGACAAATGTATGATTTCACTTATATGTGGAATCTAGAAAACAAATGAATACACCAAAGCAGAAACAGTGTCATAGATTCAAAGAACAAGCAGGTGGTTGCCAGAGGGGAAGGGTATGGAGGAAGAAGAGAAATAGATGAGGGAGATTAAGCAATACAAAGTTCCAACTGCAAAGTAAATGAGTCACTGGTATGACATATACAGTGTGGGGATTATAGTCAATAATTACATAATTGTATAGTGACAGATGGTAGCTAGATATCAAGGTGATCCTTTTGAAATATATAGAAATATGGAATTCACTATACTGTGTATCAGAAACTAACAGTTTTGAGATCAATTATACTTCAAAAACAAACTCATAGAAAAAGAGATCAGATTTGAGGTTACCAGAGGTCAGGGTTGCAGGAAAAGGAAACTTGATGAAGAGAGTCAAAAGGTACAAACTTCCAGTTATAAAATAAATAAGTACTGGGGATGTAATGTGTTACATGATATGATAAATATAATACTGCTACATGTTATATATGAAAATTGTTAACAGAATAAATCCTAAGAATTCTCATCACAAGGAAAAAAAATTGTTTTCTATTTCTTTAATTTTGTATCTATTTGAGATGAATGTTCACTCAATTTATTGTGGTACATCATTTCATGATATGTGTTAAGTCAAATCATTATGTTCTACACCTTAAACTTGTGCAGTGCTTTATGTCAATTATAATAAAACAAAGAAAAATAAAATGAATAAAATAAAATAAATTACTACTGTTTACATTGGTAGAAAACCAGAAGCTGTTTTCCTCTACTGCTATTGAAAAATATACTACATTTTCCCCAAATGAAATGTGGAATTTTAACACTGGACTGCCAGGTGTATCACCATTAATAAATAACATTTAAGTGCTATTTGGGGGGATGGGAAGTTCTTCTATTAGGCCCTGGCTACATGGAATTATATTCTCAAAATGCTTATGCTGCTGCTGCTGCTGCTAAGTCGCCTCAGTTGTGTCCAACTCTGTGTGACCCCATAGATGGCAGCCCACCAGGCTCTGCCGTCCCTGGGATTCTCCAGGCAAGAACACTTGCGTGGGTTGCCACTTCACAAATACACTTCAGGACATACTTCATGTGAAAAGATGCAAGTCAAATACACATGTACATTGCAAAAGCAAAGAAATTTGCACTATCAGAATTAGGGCAGAGAATACACTGAAAATAATTCTCCCTGATTCATTGCTGTTAAAATTAATATGGATATTTTTTCTTGACATAGATTAGTCACATATATATGAAGCTTGGTGCAATCAGGAGATGTACCAGCATTTCTACAGAACCCTCTCCAAAGCACCCAAGAAGTCTGAAAGAGTTAAGGTACTCCCTACATCTTTCTTCTCTTACAGGCCCTGCTTGTGGAGAATAGTGGAAAGTACAATGTACTGAGTTAAACAAATATTTAACTTGTTCCATGTCCAAGGCAAATCAGATTTCAGGCCAACATATGGGCTCCAGCTCAGGCCTGGGGACATGGCCTCAGGTTGGACCTAGGACTAAATGATGTGTGTGGTCATTGTTGGAGGCTCTGACTGGGCCGGATAGACACTGGGTCGCTCACCTTTCCCAGGACTGTGGAGAGTCTGACCTCTGCTTTTTTCCAGAACCCTTCACAGGCTAGAGCTCTCTGAGGTAGGTCCAGCCTGGTTGCTGTAGATTCAGAATTTAAATTCTTACTTGACTGGCTGAGTTCCTTTAGGGCAATTACTGATTTGGGCTTCCCCACATTTTTGCACCATGGCAGGCCCTTGATACGGGTCTGATGGATGACTAAAATAATTTAAGTTCCCGTTAAGGAAGATCCCCGAGTTAGGGTGTTTGGGTCTTCAGGTGGCTTCAGAGCATCTAGACGTGGGCTGTCATACAGTCACCTCATGTGGATACTGCAGCTTCGGGCGCAGCTTATCCAAGTTGATACATACCATAAGCATAAAACATGTACTGGATTCTCACAGCTTAGTATGAAAGAAAAGAATGTACAACATCTCCATCATTTTACACTGAGTGTATATGAAATAATACTTTAGACATATTGGGGTAAAACATATTTGTGATAGCTGCTTCTAAGGCAACTGCTAATGACCCCAGCCTCCTACTAATCATGAAAGTGAAAGTGAAAGTTGCTCCGTTGTATCCAACTCTTTGAGACCCCATGGACTGTAATGGACTGTAGCCTGCCAGGCTCATCTGTCCATGGAATTCTCCAGGCCAGAATACTGCAGTGGGTAGCTGTTCCCTTCTCCAGAGGATCTTCCCGAACCAGGGATGGAACCCAGGTCACTCTCGTGGTCTCCTGCGTTGCAGGCAGATTCTTTACCATCTGAGCTACCAGGGAAGCCCTGCTCTTCATACGCATATGTAATCCCCTCTCCTAGAAAGTAGGCTGGACTTACTGGCTCAATTCTGAGGCATAAAATTCGGCAGGAGTGATAGGAGTGATAGATCACAATAAGAAAGACTACACCTTTCTTGGGTTCTGCGTCTCTCCCTCGTGAGCTTGCTCCCTCCCTGTCCCTCTCTCTCTACCTCAGAGCCCAGTTATCAGTGAAGAATAGACTCTCATGCTGAAGATGCCAGATGGAGTAGAGAGGCCATGGAGAATCCAGCTGCTGGCCATGGCCTTGCTGGGAAGTGGACCCTCCTGTCCCGATCAGTGCTTTAGATGATGTAGCCAGACCACTAGCTTGACTGCACACTCGGGAAGCCCAGAGCCAGCACCATCCAGCTAAGCCGCTACGCAAGCTGACCCAGAGCAAGTGAGCAGCAATTTTGTTGTTGCTAAGTCTACATGTGTGTTTTAAGCTTGGGATTATTTGGTGCCATGCTGTGCTGTGCTAAGTCACTTCAGTTGTGTCAGACCCTGCGACCCTGTGGACCGAAGCCTGCCAGGCTCTGCTGTCCACGGGATTCTCCAGGTGAGAATCCTGGAGTGGGTTGCCATTTCCTCCTCTAGGGGATCTTCCTGACCCAGGGATCAAACCCTTGTGTCTTAAATCTCCTGCATTGGCAGGTGGGTTCTTTACCACTAGCACCACCTGGGAAGCCCAAAAATACACTATTATTTAAATTCATCTCACTGCTTCCTTTTCAATTTTGAAAATGTGACTACTAGAAACTTTTAAATCATTTGTGTGGTTCATATTATGTTTTTATGGGCTCAGATGAGGCAAAGGTGCTCCGGGTTTAATTTGAGATTCTAGGGAGCTGGGCT